TGAATAGAACTCCTCATGTGAAAGGTTTATCTCGACTGCTGTCACAAGTCGTGAAAACACTTTGTTTAGTACGAAGAATATGTGGCATTTGGACACGGGTTGGTTTGGCACATTAACTACTGTGCTGCTGGTGACCTTTTGAGGATGGACTGAAACAACAGTTGATATCATAGGTATCTGTAGTTGTTACTGCTGTCTTTCTTTATCCTGGCCCTCTCACCTCTTCATGGTTGGTAACTGATGTTGATACTTTGGTATTACAGGTATCCCTTTGGGGAGCTGTCAGGTGCTGTGAGTTGTTGAACTGCAGCAACTCTTTCTCTTGGTTGCTGTGAGTGAACTTGAAGTGAGAGAAGAATATATTCACGTGCAGGTGAGAATCAAGTCTTGATTAGACCAATTCAACATTTTTTTTATTCGTTGAATTTTCCTGTTTTCAAGTTGAGTAACCCCTTGCCTCAACGATGAATTGACTATGAATATGTTTTGCAGGCTTGCGCTTCTGATCAGGCCTTCTGACACCTCGTTTACTGGAAGCTTCCTTTAACTTCACCTGACCAACATAGGCAACTCCTGCATTCCCTGGAAAAGTGGCCGAGCCACTCTCTTCAGTTGCGAAGCGCGCAGGACCTTTTTGCGCTCATTTTGATCGTCTGGCAGCCGCCTTCCCCATCACTTTCTGGGCAACTCTATAGCACTGTGCCAGCCGTGGCCGACGCCGCCAGATTGATGACCACACTGTTAAAAAATCTGTGGAAAAACCACAGAAAAATTCCCAACAGAGGTGTACAGATTGTTTCTGTTACAGAAATTTTCAGTTACTGTGTTACTTTCCGAACAGTCTCTGTGGTTTCAGCACAGATTTGGACGCACGTTCTGGGCAAAAAATTGACCATAGTTTTTCTGTGTTTTTTCCGTGGTTTTTTCTAACAGTGCAGGAGCAGCGCTGGGACCTTGATGTTCCGCAAGCCTGACAGAGCAGGGGAAGCTCGCCCAGCCGCCAGTGCCGCCGCACTCACCATCCCGAGCTCTTCTTCGTTCTGATCTTCAAAGGGGGGATGCAGCACGCGCCCGCTAGGGTGTAGCGTACTCGGTCGACTTTTAAATTTTAAAAACGGGCCCCCCTCACTTCAAGCCATTTTCGATGTAGTTTCCGGAACTGACCTTGTTTTTTCGCTGAGACAAAGACTTCAGGTTCCTACCTCGCCTCAAAGTTGACAAATTTCAATAATTTGCACTAAAATCGAATAATTCGGGTAAAAAATATTTCAAAGCAGTACAGAGACGCTTCGTGAGTGGCATGTGTTTCTCATACATCTAAAAAGAGTTTGGCACCTGTGACCGGCGATGGGAGAACCGTTTTAGGCCGTTTTAAGGCGACATTTGTATAAAATTACTCAAAAAACTCTCCAAATCGTTATTTATTCCGGCTCTGGGGCCAGGTTACGGGTCCTGGGCAGTCCGGGGGTGGTCTTACTGATTGTCTTTAACCACCAGAAGGTCAAACAGGGGTGAGCGAATTTTCCGACAGCGGTAGGCTGTGGGAGGGGAGTAGATAGGGCAGGAACCAGGGCGAAATTTCAGGAAACGGATGAGGCGCCGTGTGTGCTTGGCAATGCATTGTCATTTTGGGAAAGGGTAAAGTTGCGCAGGACTTAGCTTGACATAGCCTAGTGCTTTGCTAACCCAGGGCTCACCACGAGGAGGTGCCTGCACTTCGAGCCCGGCCAACCAAACCGCCCGGGCATATAGTTTTAACGTTTTAAGCTTAACGTTGGTGAGGTACTTGAAACTGCCCCTTAGTGTTAAATTTGGGTATTGCTCAGCGATGTCTCCGACGAGGACCTACACGCAGCCATCTCGTCGCAGCACCGCCTCAGCATTCCTGTCATTCCTTGCGGCATACAGGCGGTCGAGCGAGTGGCTATCACTTCGGCAACAATGGTAGAAGAAGAGCAGAGAGAACGGCAGATACGCGCTGCTTTTAGGGGCCGGGCAGCATTGCACAAGTTTAAAACCAAGTGGCAGTTGACAGCCCCGTACAAACGTCCAGCTTAAAACGTAAAAACCATGCCCGGGTGGGTAGGTTGGCGGGGCTTGGGGTGCAGGCACCTCCTCGTGGTGAGCCCTGGGTTAGCAAAGCACTAGGCTATGTCAGGCTAAGACCTGCGCAACTTAACCCTTTCCCAAATGACATAGCATTGCCATGCACACACGGCGCCTCATCCATTTCCTGAAATTTCGCCCCGGTTCCTGCCCTATCTTCTCCCCTCCCACAGCCTACGGCTGTCGGAAAACTCGCTCACCCCTGTTTTACCTTCTGGTGGTTACAGACAATCCGTAAGACCACCCCCGGACTGCCCAGGACCCGTATCCTGGCCCCAGAGCCGGATTAAATAACGATTTGGAGCGTTTTTTGAGTAATATTATACAAATGTCGCCTAAAACGGCCTAAAACGGTTCTCCCATGGCCGGTCACACTTGGCAAACTTTTTTTTAGATGTATAAGAAACATATGCCACTCACGAAGCGTCTCTGTACTGCTTTGAAATATTTTTTACCCGAATTATTCGATTTTAGTGCAAAATATTGAAATTTCTCAACTTTGAGGCGAGGTAGGAACCTGAAGTCTTTGACTCAGCGAAAAAACAAGGTCAGTTCCGGAAACTACATCGAAAATGGCTTGAAGTGAGGGGGGCCCGTTTTTAAAATTCAAAAGTCGGCCGAGTACGCTACACCCTAGCGCCCGCTACTCAGCCGCGGCATGGAGTGCAGCACGCGCCTGCGGAAGGGACTAGTGGCTGAAGGTACGGATAGACTGACATCATCGCCCTCACGGCCTCTTCGTGGAGGAGACTGTGTACACATACTTGGGACGCCCAGAACTCCAACACCAGGTACTCCAGCGCCGGGGCCGGCTTGATCCCCCGCACCAGCTCTTCGGGCACCGCGCCGCATACCTTGATGGTCCCCAGGGCCGGCAGCAGGGGCAGCGCGGACAGCATGGCCCTCTGCACCACCGCGGGCATTGGCAGGGTCCACGGGAGGAAGGACACGCTGACCGACTGGAGGGTTGCGCGGGTCCGGCCGGGCGACAGGGCCCCGAAGAGCTCGCAGCAGACCGAGTGCGGGGTCTCCAAATCACCGCACTCCAAGGACACTTGGCGCAGGGCCTTGGCAGAGCCCTTCATCCTTCTCTTCATCAAGTTATCCTATTCTGTGGTCACTGTCCTGAGGCGTCTCGCGTAACGCAGCCCGGGCGCCTGCCCGTTGGAGGGGCACTGACCCGGGGTCGGCCGCGGCCGCCCCAAGACATCATGGCATTTTCTATTGGATGTTGCTAG